TGTCTCCAGAGAGTGATGGGAATGTGCAATGCAGTCTATTCTCTCTCTCTCTCTCTCTCTCTCTCTCTCTCTCTCTCTCTCTCTCTGTCTCTTTCTTTCACTGGGCATCGAACTCAGGAACTTGTGCTTGCCAGGCAGGAGTTGGCATCACTGGGCTAAATCCCCCGCCCCAAATGCAGTCTAAACAGGACAGTATTGGCTATTAAGTTTCAGTTAGATATACTGGCAAAATGGAGGAAATGGTGATTATAATTAGCCATATGTGTTCCATCTTGTTTTTGTGTGCCAAATCAGTAAGTATTGAATTAGCATTGTTTTAATAATATTCTACCAGGGCCAGGGGTATACCTCAGTGCTGCTGCCCCTTCCTGGCAAGCACAAGGTCCTGAGTTTGATTGCCAGTATCAGAAAAAAAAGTTCTACCATAAGGATACTTATTATAATAAATTATGTGGTATCCAATATTCTAGCAACCATAATCACCTGTTGGTTCATTAACTCAACCGATACGAGCTAATAGGTGCTTGGAATATATATTCCAATGTATTGTACTGTATTGAATGTACTGTATCAGTAAATAAAACGGTCAGTGACTCTTTTGTGGTTTTTTACAGTTTAGGGGGCTATTGAGCTCGTGCATGAATCAATAATAATGAAAGGTTGTATGAGTCAAAAATAGTGAAGCCCATTATCATACTAAAGATGATGTTGTCAAACTGTAAGCAGAAACTTAGTTATTTAAGTGCACACCTTAAAAACAGGCTAGATGATTAAAATAATTATCATTGGGGCCTAGATGGATATTATATACCTCCAGGTATGATGCCACAGGAAGGATACAAAAACACAACATCACATATATGGTCTGGCCACATGTGTATATCTTGAATCTAATCAGGAGGTCAGACAAACCTCCAAATGCTTAATAATCTGTAATCAAGGATTACACAATTCAAAAACATCGTCAGCTGTGTGTGGTGATAAAGGCCTATAATCCTAGTTACTCTGTAGGCTGAGGCAGGATGATTGCAAATTCAAGGCCAGTCTGGTCAATTTACCAAGACTTTTCCTCAAAACAAACAAACAAAAACAAAAACAAAAAAACAAACCCAAAAAACAAAACAAAAATAAAAAATAAATAAATTAAAAAAAATATATAGATCAGTGGTAGACTGCATTCCTAGCACATGTAAGGCCCTGAGTTCAATCCTCAGCACAGCAAAAAACAAAAAAAGTTCTGAAATAACAACAGAAATAACAATAAATCAGTACCTGGTATTAAAAATTGAATTGAAATTAAAATTGTGAATTTTAGTACCTATTGTGTCTTTACATATTTAATTTTCCCATTGTTTATGCCTGTGCCTTGTTAGTTTCAAAGAACAATTTTGTTTTTTTAAATTGAATTTATTGGTACATTCTAGGTATACAGTACAGTTACATTCATTACTAGGATCTTGTACCTTTACATGACAGGTCTTGGTTTTCATTTTTTCCCCTTGTCCCTACCCTCCCTTCATCCACTCCTCCCCTCCCCATTTACAAACACTTTAATTCCATTTTTTCATTTTCTCACTTTTTTTCTTTTTCCTTATTCCCCTTCCCCTACCCTTTCCACTTTCCCTACACCTTTAGCCCTTTTCTTCCTATTTCACATTGTTAATTATCCCATTAGGATCTTGAATACTATTATAGTTTTTCTCACCAGAGAAACTATTTGGTATTTACACATGTGTGACTTATTTATTTCACTTAGGAGTATATCCTCAAAATGTATCCATTTTCGTATGAATGACTAATTTCTCATTCTTTATGGCTGAGTAGAATTCCATTTTAAGGAAAAAACACATCTTCTTTATCCAGTTTCCAACTGATGGGCAAATGGGTTGTTTCCAAGTTTTAGCTATTACAAACTGTGCTGCTATAAACATAGGTGCGCATATGTCACTGTGATATGATTCTTTTAGTTCTTTTGGAAAGATACCTAGCAGACGGATGACTGGGTCAAATGGAACCTCCAGTCCCAGCTCTTTGAGGTATCTCCATATTGATTTCCACAGTGGTTGCACCAGCCTGCACTCCCACCAACAATGGAGAAGGGTTCCTTTCTCCCCACAACCCCGCCAACATTTGTTATTGTGTGATTTCTTGATAGCAGCCATTCTTTGTGGGGTGAGGTGGAATCTCAGTGTTGGTTTCATCTGCACCTCTCGAATTACCAGTGATATGGAACATTTTTTCATATATTTGCTTGCTGCTTTTACTTCTTTGTCTGAGAAATATCTGTTCATTTCAGATGCCCATTTTTGAATTGGGTCTTTATATTTGGGGGGGCTGATTGTTTTGAGTTCTTTATATATTCTAGTTAATAGTCCTCAAAGAGCAATTTTCAATAAACTTGAATATGTAGATGAGTGTCCTAATATTAACAGTTAAATTATTCAGAAGCAAGTATAGCCTCTATATAGTAATCAAGAATCAACCTTTCTAGAACATTACAAAACTTTTAATCAATTTCATATATGTGTATTTGGGGGAGGTGTTTCCCCTATAAGATGGGTATGCAGAGATAAGGCACTTTTGGACCCACAAGCTTAAAACCTTCCAGAATGCTTGGTTTAAGATTAAAGATAGCCTACAGGGCCCCAAGTTCAAGTAGGATCAAAACAGTTTGCCTTAAGGAATGAATGCTCTGGCCCTTTCCTCCCCATACCACTGATTTATCACTTAGATTGAACATAAGATTAATCATGTGACAGACTAATCTGACCTTTCCCTGTCCTTCCTGGTTTTATCAATAAAAGCCACAAGAGCTTCAGTTCAGGCTGTCTTTCTGAGACTCTTACTCTGAGGGGTGTCAGTTAAGGGCAGTCTCTCTGGGCCTTCTCAGTTTGAACTGGACATCAACTCTGAGTAATCACTCATCTTTGAGCCTTGCAACAGTTGTGAACTGTGAAATATGAACACTCACAAATAATTATTTTTGTTGATCAATATTTTGCATACCAAGAAACTATTGTTTTTGGAGTTTTAATTTAGTTCTTAGTATATTTTTTGATTATTAAAGAAAATACAAGTTCATTATAGAAAGATTTGAATGTATAGAAAAATTTAAAGAAGATGAAAACCATGCATGATGTTACCGTTCAGAGGAATCATGGTTAAATTTTATTTTCTTCAATTTTTTTTCTCCTTGTTTTTCCACAATTAAGGATAGACTGTATACACTAATTTACATCTTGCTTTTTTCAGTTAATGTTATGAACATCTCAGTGTGGGTTTTTTAGACATGATTTTTCACTATTTTCAAGAACTCAACTTTCACAAAGAACAATTATGTATATTTTTGTATCTGAAGCAGATGTCTTAGCGTAGTTATCTAGAAAGCAGAATCTGAACACACTTAAGGGCCAGTATTTTATTGGTAGGCACAATATCAGGACATTTAGAGAAATGAGGCAAAGAGGGCAAATCTTAAGTACTAATGCTTTCATTAATTTACTACATCCAATGATTTTATTCTCAGTAGGAAGGAAGCAGCAATTTTATAGTGTGAAAGGATTTCTCTGTAGACAAACTCAATACAATATGTAAAGATATACATGAGATTATGAATTGGGTGATTTAGGCATAAACTATCATTAGTCTTTTGACAGTGAGACAAAAATTCAATGGTCTGGCTTCATCTTGTCCAAGTTATTGTAGGACAGCACAAGAAACAGCTTCCTTCCAGAGTAAGACGAAAATTGGGGGATCAGGGAGAAAGAGTAGGAGGAAAGGCAGGAGGAGTAAGGAGGGAATGAACTTGCATTGATCCTCCTGCCTCAGCCTCCAGGGTGCTGGGATCACAGGCATATATCATTACACCTGGCCCTAGGCAACTTTATGAAATAGGCTGACAGATTATTTGTGTTTGTAACTTACTATACTTCTTATCATAAAACTTCCGTAATTTTTTTCTCCCCCACATTTTTTATCAGTGCATATTCATTATACAGATTAATGGGTTTCATTTTGGCAGATTTGTACCTGCACATAATGTACTTTGATCTCCCCCTAATTCCCCTCTTGCCCCACCCTCCCTCCTAGTTTCACATTTTTTGGAGGAGTTTCAATAAGTATAATGTATTTTTTTCACATTGTGTTGCATTTTATTTTTACATTCATTTTTATATACATAATAATCACATTCATCATAGGGAATTTGTACTTGTACACGCTATATCTTTTTCCCCCATATTTGAGATTTTATTGATTGTGCTGAGGGTCAGTACAGACACTTCACTTTGTGTACAATTTGTAACATGCATACTGAAAATCTAAAAAACTATGTATTGTTTCTTTTTCAGTTATTCAAGTGATTTTCCAGCTCTAAATTTAGAGGCAAATTTCCATAAGAGGATTAAGTACCATTGTCTAAAATGCTGATAAAGTGTTACTTAATTCACAATTTTATATCATAGACACTGCATACTAAAATTTTCGATCTTTCACAGCACATTACCAAAATTAGGCAAACTGAACCAGCACTACAAAAAAGATGTTACAGAGTGCACACAGTTCTGACAGGGCAATGATCAGGAAGTAGTTCTCTTTAGGAAACAATTCTACTAAAAACAACGTGGGAATAGAAGTCATTTATAATATCCAAGACATATTAAATGCACGACTGTGACTGCAAATTGCCATTTAGTATGCTTTATATTACAGGATATGAAACTAACCCCCACCTATGGAATGTTACACTGACATGCAAGACAGTCAAAGCCTGAATTCAATAACCCACGATTTTCTGGTTGTACCAAAAAATAAACAAGCAGCAAGTGATTTCACCTGTAAAAAACATTTATACTTAATAAATACGATGAGGTGGGATGCCCTCCTTTTAAAAAATGTTTCTGGAGCTACTAAAAAAGTTGCTTTTACAAAAAAGTTGATGAAAATATTCTGCTGGATTGTACAAGAAGGGAGACGGAGCACTGACAAGACATGGCGTGTGATTAATCAGACTTGGCTTCTTTCTCTTCTGTTTCGACAGAGGCTGTATTCTCCTCATTTTTAATTTCTCCATTTTCCTTGGGTAAATCTTCCTCTGTTTCTTGATTAGCCACTTCGGCCAGTTTTGTTTTGTTCCCCTTTTCCCTTTTGCTTGCACTTTTTTTTCTGGAAGATTTATCCTTTCCCTCTGTCTTTTTTGGCTTTGTTTCCACTTTTGCAGGAGCAGGTTTAGCTGTCAACCTCACCAATCTCCTCTTGGGCTCCTCCTTCGCTGCCCCTTTGGTGAAGCTGACCTTCCTCTTAGGCATCTTGAAGGCGCTGCCGAGAGTGGGGTTGGAGAGTGGGGAGGGGGAATGGGGTGAGGGGCGCCTCGGAAGCTGAGACCAGGGCGCCCAGGAGCCTTGCTGAGCTAAAGTGCTTCGAAGGCCGCTGCTGCTCCTTCTGTCACCAGAGCTGTTGGGACCCGCCCCTGGGGTTGGTGGGAGAAATGGATCTACATGATGTATCTTGATTCTTATTTTTTTCCCATTCCTCTCCTCTCCCTTCAACACTTCTTCCTCTCCTGATTTACAAAAGCTTTGTTTCCATTTTTTCTATTCTTTTTTCCCCCTTTTCCTTCCTTTCCTTCCCCCTCCTCCCTCCCCTGTTCCCCTTCACATTTGAACATTTTCTTCCCACTTCCCAGAAATCTGTCATCCATTTTTATTTTTGTTTACTCTTTTGGTTTCTCACACAAGAGAAACAATGCAATATTTAAACATGTATGTCTGATTTATTTCATTTAAGAATATGGTCTCAAGGTGCATTTATTTACCAAAAAATATCTTTCCTTTATGGCAGAAAAGTACTCAATTATATATAAAAACCACATTATCACATTTTCTTTATCCATTCATCTGATGATGGGCATTTGGGCTGTTTCCAAGAGTTAGCGATTGCAAATTGTGCTGCCATAAATGTGGGTATGCATATATCTCTGTGGTATTATGCTTTTAACTCTCTCAGAAAGAAACCAAGAAGGGGAATAGCTGGGTCAAATGGACCCTCTAATTTTAAGTTTTTGAGGAATCTCCATACTGATTTCCATATTGGTTGTATCAGTTTACACTCCTACCAATAGTGGAGAAGGGTTCCTTTTTCCCCATAGCCTCAACAGCATTTGTTTTTGATTGATTTCTTGATGGTACCCTTTCTTTCTGGAGTGAGATAACATCTCAGTGTTGTTTTAATTTGCATTTCTCGAGTGACCAGTAATATTGAACATTTTTTCACATATTTATGTACTGTTCATACTTCTTAATTTGAGATATCCATTTTTGGATTGAGTCTTTAAAATTGGAGAGGTCTGATTTTTTTGAATTCTTTATATATTCTGTATATTAGTTCTTTGAGGAACAGCTGATAAAATTTTCCCATGCTGTGGGTTGTGTTATCTCTTCTCTCTGTTGGTGCTTTCTCTTACTGTGAAGAATATAATGTATTTTGTTCATAGTCATGACCCCATTACCCACCCTTACATACTCGCCCCCTCCCACTTCTTTCCTTCATCTTGCATAATAATAGCCTTGCTTCTTCTTTCTCGTTACCTGTTTTAGATTTTACATATTAGGGAGAGCATGCTATATTTTTCTTTTTTAATCTGGCTGGCTTACTTCACTCAACATGATGATCTCCAGACCCCTCCATTTTTCGGTAATGACAAAATTTCATTCTTTTTAGTGGCTCAATAATACTCCATTGTGTATTATATACTGTATTTTATCTATTCATCTGTTTCTGGGCATGGAGGCTGGTTCTATATCTTGGTTTTTGTATATTGTGCCACAAGAAACATGGGTATGCAGATCTGCTAAATGTAATTCCTTCAAGTATATACCAAGGAGTGGTATGGCTATATTAAATGGTAGTTCTTTTTAAATTTTTTTAAAGAACCTCCAAGCAAGTAGGTTTCCTTTCTCACCTGCATCCTTACCAGTGTTCATTAGTTTTTCTATTCTTGATGATAGCTATTCCTACTGGGATAACACGGAATTTCATTGTACTCTGATTTGCATTTCCTTAATGGCTAAAGATGGTGAGCATTTTTTCATGTATGTTCTTATTGTCTATTTGTATTTTTATTTTGAGAAGTGTTTATTCAGTACTTTTGCCCAATCATTGGGCTATTTGATTTTTGGTGTTAAGTGTTTTGAAATTTTTACATATTTTAGATAGTAATCCTCAGAAGCAAATATTTTTTCATTCTGTAGATTGTCTTTTTCACTGTTGATTATTTCTTTTTTAAAATAAATTTTATTTTATATTATCCCATTACCCCCTCAAGTCCCCTCCCCACCCTATGTACAAAAGCTTTGTTTGCATTTTTCCTATTTTCACTTTTTTCATCCTTTCCTTCCTTCCTTTCTCCCTTCCTCCTTCCTTGTTCTTTCCATTTGAACACTTTCTTCCAATTGCCCAACATCCATTATACATTTCAGTCCTTATTTCCACTTTCAGTTTCTCACACCAGGGAAACAATGTGGTATTTAAAGATATGTGTCTCATTTGTTTCACTTAGGAGTGTGGTCTCAAGTTCCATCCATTTAGCTATAAATGTCTGAAGCTCATCCTTCTTTATGACAGAGTAGAACTCCATTGTATAAAGAAACCACATCTTTATCATTCATTGGTTGATGGGCATTTATGCTGTTTCGAAGATGTAACTATTACAAACTTTGCTGCTATAAACATGAGTGTGAGCCGGGCGTGGTGGTGCACACCTGCAATCCCAGCACTCAGGAGGCTGAGGCAGGAGGATCGCTGTGAGTTCGAGACCAGCCTGGGCTACATAGTGAGTTCCAGGTCAGTCTCAACTACATAATGAGACCCTGTTTCAAAAAACCAAAACCAAACCACACCAAACCAAAACAAACCATGAGTGTGCATATATTGCTGTGGTATGATATTAATTCTTTTCAGAAGATACCAAGAAGAGGGATAGCCAGGCTGAATGAAACATCTAGTTTTAGTTTTTTGAAAAATCTCCACACTGATTTCCACAATGGTTCCACTAGTCTACATACCCACCAACAGTGGAAAAGGATTCCCTTCTCCTTATAGTCCCTCCAGCATTTGTTATTGGTTGATTTCTTGATAGCAGCCATTCTTTCTGGAGTGAGATGGAATCTCAGAGTTGTTTTAATTTGCATCTCTTGAATGACCAGTGGTGATGAACATTTTTTGATATATTTATTTACAATTTTAATTCTTCATCTGAGAAGTGCCTTTTCATTTCAGATGCCCATTTTTGCATTGTGTCTTTAAATTTGGGAGGTTATTTCTCTTGCTATACAGAAACTTTATTATTATTACTGTTTTTATTTTTGTTTCTTAGACAGGGTCTTGCTATGTAGTCCAGGCTGGCCTCAAACTCCTGGGTATCATCTTGCGTCTGCTTCCTGGGTGCTAGAATTACAGGTGTGCACCACCATGCCTGGCTTTAAAACTTTTAAATTTGATTTAGTATTATTTGTTTATATTTACTATCAATGCTGGTGCTATTGTAGTTCTATGGAAGAAGTCCTTGCCTGTGTCTATGGCTTCAATAATTTTCCCTTAATAGTTTCAAAGTTTTAGGTCTTATACCTAGGTCAGTGATGCATTTTGAATTGATTTTTATATAGTGTGAGGTAGGGATCCAGTTTTCCCAGCACCATTTGTTAAACAGGCTGTCTTTTCTTCAACATATATTTTTGGCTCCTCTGTCCAGAATCAGATGCTTATAGTTGCCTAGGTTTGTCTCTGTATCCTCTATTATGTTTCATTGGCCTAAATATCTACTTTTGTGCCAGTACCATGCTATTTTTGTCACCATGACTTTGTAGTATGATTTGAAATTGGATATGGTGATGTCTCTTGTTCTTTAGGATTGCTTTTACTATTCTGGATCTTTTGAGTTTCCTTATGAATTTTAGGTTGTATTTTCTAGTTCTGTGAAGAATATAATTAGTATTTTGATGGTGATTGCAACAAATGCATAGATTGTTTTTGGTAGCGTGGCCTTTTCCCCCCCAAAAAACTAAAAAAATTTAATTAGTGCATGTTTGCAGTACATGCTATTTACAGTCATCTTGGGGAATGGTTACATGTACATACTATAGCTTATTTCTTTTTTAAATCCCCTTCCTGGGCCGAGGATTTAGCTCAGTGGTTCTGCCACCTGCCTTGCAAGAGCAAGGTCCTGAGTTTGATCCCTGGTACCAAAAAAGAAAAATGAAAAAAAAGAAAAAAAATCCCTTTCCCTTTTACTTCCACCACCTTCCTCCTCCTATAATTCCCCTATCCTGATTTTCATTCTTATTTATACTATTAACCTTAGCTCATGTTATGGCATATAATATTTACATTCCAGGTTATTAGGTTCCTGGACATTATATATATTTTTTCTACTTATTTCCCCTTCCCCTCCTTCCAATGCTCTGTGCTTTTTTTCCCCTTGGAAACCTTCATTGCAGGAAATTCATCCCCTTCTAACCATCTTTTACTATTCTCTTTGTACTGTGCTTCACTCAAATGAAAGATACCATATGGTATTTAAACTTATATGTCTAGTTTATTTCATTCAACTTTATATTTTCCATGTGTACCCATTTTCTTATAAATATTGCAAATTTGTCATTCTTTATAGCTGAGTACTATTCTAGTATATATAGATATCACACTGTTTTTATTAATCATTTGTTGATGTGTATACAGGCTGCTTCCAAGATTTAGCTATTATGAATTGTGCTGCTACTTTTCTGAATTTTTATCAGTTCTGAAAGTCTTTTGATGAAATATTTAGGGTCTCTTACACATAGGACCATATCACATGTAATCAATAACTTGACTTATTCCTTTCCTGTTTATATATCTCTTTTATTTCTTTATCTTGGCTAAATGCATTAGTTAAAATTTAAGGAAAAAAAATAAATAGGAATGGTAAGAAAAGGCATCCTTGGCTTATTCCTAATTTTAGGGGAGATGCTTTCAGTGTTTCTATTTTCAGAATGATATTGACTGTGGGTTTTTCATGTATGGCCTTTACTCTTTAGAGCAATTACCTTTCAATATGTAGTTTTTTCAGAACTTTTATTTTAAAGAGATTAAATTTGTCAAAGCCCTTTTCTGTGTTAATTAAGATCATGTGATTTTTATCCCTGATTTTATTTATGTGGCTTATTGCATTTGTTTATTTGCATAAGTTGCATCCCTGCAGTCCTGGAATGAAGCCAGGTTGATCATGTATAATCTTTTCCTTTCTTTCTTTCTTTTTTTTTTTTTTTTTGGA